TTTGCCATGACTAAGACTTCAATAGTTTATTTTGTTAAGTTATATCAAAAATATTTTGAAATTATGACCAGATGAAGTGTTAGAATATGGACTTTTAAATGAAGTATTTTATCACATATGTGGTTGGCACACTAAAAGTGATGTGACCACCAAGCCAACTAAACCATTTAGTCATGTAATGCAAAGAAAAATATATATAATAAAACAAACGCAATTGTTCAATTGTAAGTGAACAAGTGAAATTCACCAATTTACAACAAAAATTTAGCGATTTACAAGTAATATAATGGAATTCACAACGTCAAATGTAAGTATTTAAGTGTGAATGAGCAAGTAGAATTTGAATATTTACAATAAAAGTTCATAAATTTACAACCCAAATTCGGCAATTTACAAGAAACAAAAGGGAATTTACAACCCAAAATATAAATGCTTGAATATGAATGGACAAGTGAAATTTAGCAATTCAAAACAAAAATTCAGATATTTACAACCTAAATTCAACGATTCATAAGAAACATGAATACTTGTATTTGAAGTTGTGAATTCTCTTATTAGTTTTGTAATGTTTATATTTCTTATGAATCACTAAATTTGAGTTGTAAATAACTGAATTCCACTTGATCATTCTCACTCAAACACTTGCATTTTGGGTTGTAAATTTCTTTTTGTTTTTTGTGAATCGCTGAATTTCGGCTGTAAATTCATGAACTTTTGTTGTAAATTGTCAAATTTCACTTACTCATTTACACTTAAACATTTGTATTTATGGTTATGAACTCCATTATATTATTTGTAAATCGCTAAATTTTTGTTATAAATTACTGAATTTTACTTGTAAATTATCGAATTTCACTTGTTCACTTACACTTGAACACTTCATTTGTTTTATTATATATATTTTTCTTTGCATCACATAATTAAATGATTTGGTTGGTTTGGTAGTTATATTATTTTTGGTGTGTCAAGGGGTTATAAGTTCAAACCTTCCTTTGGCCACCTTATTTTAAAAAAAATATCTTTTGGCCACCAGAACTCTAACTTCTGACGGCAGCCACCTGAGCACCAGTGGCTAGAACTCTGACGACAATTAATATTTATATTTAAAAAATTTAAAAATGAGGGGTATGATTGTAATCTTACTTTTAATTTCAATTTCATTTTAGTTCAAAGGGAGTTGATTGAAATTTTGAAATGTTTTGGAGATTAACTAATATTAATTCACTATTGTGGTCTTCAAATGAAATTTTTCCTTTTATTTGGAACTTGGGATCAATCCCGATATATTCCACAACAATTTTAAGGGGGCTCCAAGGTTTTTGTATTTTGTTTTATCAGTGATAGGAGAAAAATCAGGGAAGAAAGAAAGAAACAAAAAAGAAAAGGCACAAAAATCAATAGCAACAGAAGATACGACCACCAGCATCTTATTGTACTACCTCCAGTCCTAATTATAAGAGCCAGTTGACTAATTTGAAGAGATTAAGGAAGTAAGTTAAACTAGTTATTTATCCTAAATAGGTGTTGTCTTTCGTAAAATATCCTTACTAATCAAGTGTATTGACTAGAACTATCATTATTAGAAGTGTTACTTTGGAAAAAAAATATATAAATATGAAAGATAAAGTAGATTGAGATCTTATATTTAGAATCAAAATAAAAATCAAACAGGGTCTTATATTAAGAACCCGAGATAGTAGCTTTTATAATTTTATAATGCTCATGAAGATAATGATATGATATCATGGAAGACCCTTAACCTACCATATATTTATTTTAATATAATGCAAGTAAAAATTAATCTTTATGAAGTTCAATTTCTCAAGGGTTTTAAAATAATTTTGATTTTTCGCTCAAAAAAATAATAATTTTGATTTGTCAATTTAATTACCTTCCCAGTTTCGAATCAAATGTTTATCAAGTTACTACATCATCTGCTCTTTAATATAAAAGCTAGTTGATTAATTTGAGTAGATAAAAAAAACTGTTTACATTAATTATTTGTAATAAATAGCTGGCCAAAAAATGTTATCTATAATAAATAGGTGTCGTCTTTTCTAAAATATCCTTGCTAATTAAATGTATTAGCTAGAACTACCATTATTATAAGAACTATCTTAGAAAAAATAGTTAAATATGAGAAACAAAAATGGATTAAGATATTATATTTAAAATAAAAATAAAAATTAAATGAGTTTTTATATTAAATACAAGAGATGGTAACAGCAAATATAAAATTAATATTGGCTATGATGACCTACGAAAAAATTTTGCGGATATTATTATTACGTGATCAGGACGTATGTGCCAACTTTTTTGAGGGACTCGAAGAGTTGATTAGTTGAATTAATTTATTTTAAATAATTTTATATTGTATAAAATGGGCATCTGAGAGGACTTAATTAACTTTTTTTTAAGTAATCATGAGAATTTGTCATAGGTATAACGTATAGAAGTTTATTTACACCAACTCGATTTTTTTAATGTTGACCAATAATTTTTTTTGCTAAAACATAAGTATTTTTTTTATTAGAGATACTATTAAGTATTAAATATGAATACTTTTTCTAATAGGAATTCGAAACTTAATTCTTTATTACGTGAGAAACTAACATGCCCAACCCTCATTGGTAACGTTGACCAATAATATTGTTTCTTTAGATTCCAGAAGTTGCATGATCATTTCTTCCCTATTTTGGGCCAATAATTATCCCTGTGGAATTATAAAACGTGGGGCCAAGAATGATAAAAGCTTCATATACTTCCAAAACCCAAAAATAATAAAGTGCCTCACGCACAAAAGTCAAAAAGTTAAAAACAAAGAGGCTTTTTGACCAGAATATGTATATAAGCCATAGCGACAAACCTGTAAAAGGTAGAGAAATTAATGGAGAATTAGGTAGGTTTTGTTGAATTGAAGTGTTAGGATGTAACGCAATGCACGAATAAAATACGAACCATGTTTTTTTCTGGAATGATTTAATTTTAGGTTTCATTTTCAGAAAAGAGTGTAGTGGGATATACTAACTTTGGACTCCTCTTTTGGAAGCTTCTTAATTTTTTTTGACCAATCTTAATTGATTTTTTTTAATTTGAATGAACTAAAATAAAGGATAGGTTGTAAAATATGCTTGAAGATTTTTGGAGCTTTATGGTCCAAAGACATCAAACACATTTCTTTTCTTTTTCTTTTTTTTTTCCTTGTAAGGTTGAGTTTGAATTTTTAGTAGAGAATAATAAGTGCTTGAGTTAAGATGAAAAAAAATACCGTGCCGTTCAGATATTAGGGGACTTTTTTTTTTTCCTGAAATATCATACTCAAAATAAAAGGCATTTTTTATCCTTCATGAAAAGAACAAGAACGTGTACTCTTAAAGGCTATTGACTAACTTATTAGGAATATAAACTAATATAAAGCGTCTTATAATTTTAAACAAAATGAAATCCTGAAAAGCACTCTTCTCATTATTGTAGTTTTCTGGCTATTGCCACTTTGTTTGATCCCATGCGTGCGTTAGAACGGAATCTTTTTTGTGTAACAACTCAATCACCACTTTAGAAAATGCCATCAATTTTTTCTATTCCTTTTCCTTTTGTTTTCTTAGACAATCTTTGTTTAGAAGGAAAATTATTAATTTTAGGTCAAAGATATTATTTATAAACTACAAATAAAATCTTATAATTAGGATAGAAAACAGTATTACATTGAAAATTCTATAAATTTAAGTGAAAATATCTTAATATAAAAACTTGCAGCACAGATTTTAATTTTCTTTAACATATTTTAATTTTTTTGAATTTTTATTTTACTATAAATATCATTTTTTTGTTTCAATTTCTTAAACTGTTGTCATTGAGAGACAATGAACAGATTCTTTCAAAGACGGCTGCTTTTTGAGTCAATGGAAAGAGCTTAATCATTATTCAAAAAGAAGCCACAGTCATTGACTAAGTGCGTGCCTGTCCATATCACTGTAAAGCAGACAAAAGTCTAAAAATTAATATATTTTTTTTGGCCTGAGTCTACAAATAAATTTAGATGTAATTGAATATGATCAGGTTTATTATTCCAGAAACTGGAGGACAGTAGATAAGAAAGAAAATATTTGAATATAAGAGGGGGGAAATTAACATTTTAATAAGATATTGAATAGTTGAATTGAATCATGATTCACCACATTGCAAAAAACTAATTTTTTTCACCGGATTCAATTCTAAAAAGCATTTTTTTATTTGCCAGGCATAGATATTATTTATTGAAAGTAATTTTGTTTGAATTACTGTTAGGCACTAAATATGAACACACCTCTCAGTAAAAATTCGAATATTGATTTATCATATTGAAGAAGACTAGCTACTTTTACTCGATCTAATCACATAAAAATGGATCAAAATGTTGGGCCCAATCCACTTCTCTCGTATACGACATTCCTGGATTCTATAGGTGGGCTTTATGGTATCGGATTATAACATAGGCTTTGTCCCCAGCAATTCTTTTAATACAAAAAGGCTCCTCTTTTGGTAAAATAAATTGATGATCAACAATAATCCAGCAAGAACAAGATGTCGACTTTTCCTTTTAATATAATGTTATTATAATAAAAAAATAAATTTTTAAATATTTCTGCTAAAATGCATATATTTTCCGGTATGTTATTATGATAAGTTGGATTTCTGGCGCATAGCAAAAAATAGGAAGCCATAGTTCCTCTAACCAATTACCCATGCACACTATAGATTAATATTGTTCTCTCCTCCTGAATATGTAAGAGCTAAATAGATAATTTATGATTATTAAGAAAATTAGTTAAGTTAGTTATTCATATAAGATATGTGTTGATTTTTTAAATATACTTTTTAATTATTACTCTCATTATTTACAAAAAAAAAAAAAAGCTCACATGCTTCGTGATCCGTTTAAATTTCAACACCAAACCTCTCCTATTCATAAGGCGCTATGATATGGCATGGGACCATTAGAATTTTGACCGAATCAACCAGCAGTTCCAACCACAACTTTATTATAATGATTGATAACTGAAATTACATTGCTTGAAGATAACATAAATCACCCAAAAAAAGAACTTAATCAAAATGGGTAAAAACTAAATATAGGAATTAGGCATAATGTAGTATTGAGGTAATGGAATTAGGAAGAGGGATGCCTTTTAAGAAGTGATTGACCAACGAAAGGGCTCTTCCTGGCTGGTAGCTTGGCACTTCATGCCCTGCTCCTCTCACTGTTGCAAATGTCAAGCTTCCCTTGTACTCTTGTGTGTATCCTCATACCTGTAACATTAAAAAATTATTACCGTAGAATCAGTCAACTAATTTGAGTAGATTAAAAAACATTAATTTAGTTATTTGTTAATAAATAAGTGTTGTCTTCTCTAAAATATCATTACTAATCATATGTGTTAGCTAGAACTATATTTGATAAAATATTTAACATGTGCAACTACTATAATAACTATCTTGAAAAAAATAGATAAATATGATAGATAAAGTGGAGTGGGATCTAGAACCAAATTAAATGTCAAACTCACTTATATGTTAAGGATCAAAACAGAGGTGGTATTCAGATACTGAAAATAAAATAAATTGGTCATTGAATCGATTAAGATGATGATTTAAGGATTCATGGCTAAATTAGAGAATTCGATCTCATTTTGCATGTACTGGTGTATACTAATCATTATATCTTCGTTATTATTTGAAATTATGTAGTATAATTGAAAAAATTTTAACAGGCATATTGTTCATGAGCCCACTTATTGTTTTATACTTGGGGTAACACAAGGCGTGCTATTATCATCAAAGAATCCCATATATTGTTATTATTCTAGATAACCCTAAACATTGAAAGTTTAAACTGTATGGTCAAATATTTTTGAGTGAAAGCGCGCTTTGTTTTGACAATTTTCCAAAATAATATTAAAAATTAGATTGGTTCAGTATAACATTTATATATATTTAAAATTGTGTAATTAATATTATAAGTGCATTATATATCATTACCTCTCCATTGACGAACCAAGGGCGCCACTTCGTCTTAAGAGTGAGATTTAACTTCTCCATGGAATACTTTGTTGAAGTAACCGGCACATTTCCATCAAAATCACCGCTGCATATTTTTCAGATATATGTGTGTGTATATCATTAAAAAAATATACATCATGTTCTTGAGATTGCATGAAATTTTGAGAGACCGGGAGTGCTATTTACTATTTATAAAAATGTAAAAAGAAAAGTTATAAATCTAGTAGACCGTCCAATTTTAATGTGAATGGTTCAGATTTCAAACTAAATCTGAATTAAACAGCAAATACCTAAAAACCCAAACGCGAAGGCTGTGATTGAGGAATTCTTTTAAAAGAGGAAGCACAGTGGAAGGCGTATCATTCCACTTGGTGATGATGACATCCCTACAAAGTCCCCAGTCATGACTCAATTTCGTGACATTGGCATGTAATGCCTCTTGCACCTCAACCCGGTTCATATATGCATCCACATAATACTCAATACACGAGTCTGCCACTTTCTGCACAGACACATTCACAAAACTTCACATAAATTTCACTTCATTCTCTCTCTCACACACACACAAACACATATAGGCCCTTTTAGGAATAAATATGTAAGTGAAATATATAACTCACAGAAGGAGGCTTAGGTAGGGAAGTGAGATTAGAATCTTGGCACTGAGGAGCATAGATGTTGTCTATACTGATGGAACCAATGTCTTGCTCTATTTCATTTGATGCTGCTTTGCATTCATTGTTCACATCATCATCATCAGTTGATGATGATGCAACCTCGGAGAAATCACACAATTTGCTAACAGCATGCGCTGCTTTGTCTGATATTATGGCATGGCTTGCTAGGAAATCCCATGTTCCTCTGTTGTCTGTCTCATCGTTTATTACTGCATTCCCTATCTGCACAAACACAGATAATATAATGTTCATATTATTGTTCCTTCATATACTTTATGTGAGAAGATGATGAGAGGGACATACCAGGATCCCTTCGAGGTTGATGAAGAAGGAGGAATTGGGACGGTTGTTGTGGTGGAGAATGGTGTGAGCAAGCTGAGGAACATAGTGGCCAGCATAGCTCTCCCCGGCAATGTAGAAATCATAATTCTTGTACTCTGCAAACCTCTCCAACCAGTTCCTTAAAAACACGTAGTTGTCTGTAGCAGTCCTCCTATCCCCATAGTTGTCGTAATTTGATGTCTTATTTGAATATGAAAATCCCACTCCAGTTGGTGATTCTAAGAATAATACGTTTGCAGCTACAACACCAACGCCCATATATATGTATATATGAATCTTTATATATGTATGCTTCGATGACTTTAACATGCTAAATTAATCTGTGATAATATTCATCAAAAATGTGAAGAGAGGTACCATAGTTCCATGAGTATTTGTTTGTTTGAAGTGTTTTGCCATCACTGTTTACTCGGAATGGTCCTAACTCTTGCATTGCTCCGTACCCCAGAGATGAGCATATATACAGGACCTGCATGTAAATACACCAATGGATCAGATTATATTATGAATGAAAAACTTTTGAATTCTATTTTCATTACATGTATGAGAACAAAAACCAACCCTACTAATAACAACCAAAAAGAACAAACAACATATACATATCATATAATTAATTAACTAGACCATACTGGACAAAGGAGTATTGATCAGTGATGAGATGTGCGTGGCTTCTAATGAAGAGTTTTACATGTCATCAACTTCTCTTTCTAATCTCTCTCAAGTTAATTATAAGCATTGAATCTCTCTCAAATAAATGTTACTTTATTATTGTACATACCTCCATTTAGCCAGAGAAGAAGTGGCAGTTTGTGCCTATGAGATGGTTGAGCTTCAACAAAATAATAATAAAAAGCTCTTCCTGCAATCTTATCCACTGTGACATACCCTCCATACTGAGAGATACTCACATCTTCAGGCTGCCCTGGAAGCTTCTGAATCCTATCTTTCTCTTTCAATCCTTCTTGAAGATAATAGTAACGAGACTTGTTATCATTAGAGTCTCCAAACACAGCCTCATCATCTACCCCCAAGATTGTGTTACTGCTTCTGTCAATGGTGCCTCCTCCTCTGAACTTGGCCTTGTTCAGATTTCTAAGAGCATGTTCTTGCTTTCTGCTTCCATGGATCTCATCCACAAAGAGTAGTAGTGTTGATAGAAGGAAAAGGACCCACCAAGTTTCTTTGCCCGTTATTGCCATTGCGTTGTATCAGTATTCAAAAAGCTATCAGAGAAAGCTGATGAGAAAAAGAGAGGGAGAGAGAGGGGGGAAGAGAGTGAAGGATGATGAGATATGGGATGGGATAGCTAGCTAGCTGCATGTGAATATTTATAATGAAATTAGAAGATGAGAAGATATTTGTGGCGGAGAAGAGTGGCAACAAGCAAATGATTGATTTTACACTTTAGAGTATCTCTCCATTTGTCTCCACTTTGATTAGAAAATTAATAATTAATATTACAACCTTCTTATTAAGCTATTAATTGATTTAATTCTAATTACAGGCATCCAATTATTGAAATATGTCGGGTCAAAAAAAAATTATTGAAATATGAAGAACCACATGGAAACAAGGACAACTTTCTTCTCAAATTGTTTGCATTAAATTTGGGTGCTAAATTGTTAGATGTAAATTTGCCCCTAAAGTTTAAAATCACAATAATTTTGCCTCCTATCGTTAAAATTTTTAATGGTAAATATCCCTATTTTGATAGTCGGTATTAATTTTTTATTATAGGAAACAAAATTGCTACAGTTTTAGACCTTTAGAGTAAAATTTGCACCCAAAAAAAACTGTTGAATGCCCAACGCTTACGAGTAAAAACTTCTAGGACAAATTTGCAACCCTATGCAATTCCAATAATCTCATCTACAACTAGTAGAATTATTTTGAACTTATCAAACTGCTGAAATTACTTATAATTAGTTCTGAGTTTCAAATATAATACTTATGAAAATCTAGTTACCCACTGAGGAATAAGGTTGAAAACCCACTAAAAGAAAAGCCTAACTCAACTGTAAGATTTTAATGGTTCTATTTGCAACTTGTGATCAATCCCAATATATTCAGTAAGAATTTGCAAGAGGGCTCCAAAGTTTTTGTATTTTGTTTTATTAGTGATCGAAGAAAAGTCAGGAAAGAAACAAACCAACAAAAAAGAAAAAGCACAAAAATCGATGGCAACAGAAGATAACTGTTTCAAGTATTTGCATTCGAATCTTTATCAAGTTACTACCAACTAGACTAAAAAAACTAATTAAGTTAGTTATTTATAATAAATAGGTGTTGTTTTGTCTAAAATATCATTGCTAATAAAGTGTATTGGCTAGAACTACTATTATTATGAGAACTACCTTGAAAAAAATGGATAAATATGAGAGACAAAAGTGAATTATGATTTTATATTTAGGATCAAAATAAAAGTCAAACAAGCTCTTATATTAAAGACCAGAAGTAATAACAACAATTGTAAAGTTAATATTGGATATGATGACCTACAAAAATTTTTTGTGGATATTATTATTACATGATCAGGATAAATGTGCCACCTTTTTTAAGCACATATATATGTGGGAAAATAACATAAAAAGAAACTTGAAAATCTAAAATGCCAAAATAGGAAGCTAAACAAATGTAGTGACAAATTGGGAAGTGTTGCCTGATGGGGGATTATAGAAATGTTGCTGAATTACAAAAAAGCCCTTCTGGCAAAGTTTGAAAGCAGAGAGAAAGAGAGAGGCGCGATTTGACCAATGACCACTCGTGCTTCCTGGTTTCTCACTTCCATCATCCCCATTACTATCCTAAAAATACCGGCAAGTTGGAGAGTTGATGACCCCAAAATAGTGTGTGTGTAAAAGAGGAGAGGAGTTTGAAGTAGAAGGCTATTCTATTTGAAGGGCGAACATCCTTGGCTCTGGCTGATTAGGTGGAAGGATAAAGGTTGGTGATCGATGATTCACCATTGCAGTTAGCAAGCATCAATAGCATTTAATTGAGGTAAGTTTAGGGATTTAGGTTTCATGCTGTGGTTGACATTTCTAGGTGACTGGGGGAAGCAACGATTAGTCAATATTTAGAAATGACACGATGAAGTTTGTGAATGATTAGAATGGTGATTAAGGATTTATTTTGAGTCTCTATGGCATGCTAGTGTTTTTTATAACAAAGTTGAGAACTGTGACGTTAGCAAAAAAATGGGTTTTCAAAGGAGTAGAAAGCAATATTATCTTGGACTTCATCAAGCTAGCTGAAATGATATTTGTAGAAGTTCCTTAGCAGAATAACCTGTCAGTCTTGTCAATTTGGAATTTTATCAGGTAAATGAACATGTCAGAGGCATTAACTAACTGCGTTGATATTGTTATATCCACATGAGAGATTATGGGGTGCACTGCATGATGTGGCTGAGAAGATGGAAACCTGGTGTGACCCTTAACTACACAGAGGAAGAAGTTTCTGGCTTTCGTCATGACCTAACATGGTGGTTGGTGAATCATGAAATGAATGAAAAACGTGATGAGATGTTAGATCTTATTCGACAACCACAACCCCCTAAGAGCAAAAAGTCAAAGAAAAGGCGTCTGTCCTAAGTGTCTCGATGTTAGGATGATAATTCACTTGTTTTCTATTAGATTGCTGTATATAATATGCATTGTAGGCTGACCTAATGTGTACTTTGCCATGTCAATGAATATAATTTAAGCTTATGATGATGTGTGTTCCATTCTTATGCTTCACAGAGATAAGTGTACCTAATGACATCAATGGATGTTTGAGATACATGATGCCAATTTTTTCCCTGAGTGACATTAATGAATTTAAATTTAACCACACGAAAACAAATGATAACAACAACCATATTGAACATGTGTTGTTGGTTTCCATTTCTTTTCAAGTCACTCTATTTTACTTGAATATGTCCTGTTCGTATCCATTTGAAAATGACAAATAGTAATCCGAATATAACAACAATGACGATGACATAACTTGTACTTCATATATAACATCAGTTTCACATAAACTGTCAGGCTAGCCTGATAACATCACTACCAATAACTAGAAGAAATTTAAAAATGACAACAACATATCTGAAAATAACAACAATGAAAGTGACATAACCTATTCTTCATATATAACATCAGTTTCACATCAACTGTTAGATTCACCTGATAACATCACTGCCAATAACCAGAAGAAATTTGAACATGACAACAACGTATCCGAAAATAACAACAATGAAGATGACATAACATGTTCTTCATATATAACATTAGTTTCATATAAACTGTCAGGTTCGCCTGATTACATCACTGCCAATAACAACACTAAATTTGAAAATGACAACAACTAATGTGCCATTAACAAAAGATAACATCTTCATAACAGTAACTTGGTTTCATGTATTCAATGACAAGTGCACATTAAGATACTAGCCACACTTAATGCTCCCTTGTCACTGACATTTCTATCACCTTAGTTACAAAAAGAATGTCCACGCTTGGCTTCTAACTACAACCTAAGTCCCAAAAAAGTTGACAAAGGTAGAGCATACATCTATGTACATCAAAAAATAACCCATCACAACTGTACTCAAAACTTCATGATGGGTTAGGAGTTCTATAATTCCATATTCGTATATCTGTTTGTTTTGAAATTGTGATTCATCCCTATTTGTTGTTAGCCTTCCAAGTGGTCAAGATGTTATATGAGGTAGCAAGAATATTTGCTCACTGACATTTCCTATCCTATAGTAATCATTTGGGTGAGGCATGTCTGTTGTTACCACAGGAATCATTGTAAGCATAAATCTTTTCTTCTGATGACTTTTTATAGCAATTATCAACATAATCATAAACATTATCATGGACAACCTTGATGGCTGCACAAGCATGGCAACAAGCGATCCCTGTCATTTGCCAAGATCTGTAACTGCTTTGGTGTAGTCCAAGATCAACCTGATGATCTCCACATGATGTTGTCACCTTTACTCTTCCCCCACCATAATTTTCAGTATACATATGCTCAGATCCAATTACCATATGGAGGGAATTGAAAAACGCGCAACGGAAAATAAATTTAAAATTTCAATCCCTTGCCCGGATCTACCGATCGTGTTTAAGTCAAGTAGTAAGAAGCATTACCTTTGATGTTCGATTTCTTGGTGGCTCGATGATTCCGCCGTTCAGGATGCCTCTGCTCGCCTCCTTTGTCGCTCAAAGTCGACAACTCCTGTCAGCTTCCTCTACCGGTATCCACACGAACAGCTCTCTAGTCATGAACGACGTGCTAGTGCCTCTTTACCCGTCTAGGGTTTTTTCAAAGAGTCCGTCCTCCTTCTCTATTTTTTGGCCGTCTCTTATCTGCAAGTGTTTTCACTCTCTCACTCAAAACCCTAGCTCCTAATATCAAATATATAGGATGCTATAGGTATTATGAATGATATTTAATTTCGAAATTAATCCTAAATTAATTCCAAAATTAATACAATATCAAATATTGCCTAATCAGATAAGAGAACAATTAAATAAATATGGTTTATATTAAATCCGTTTCACATATTTAATTCACCTATTTATTTAATTCAAAATAAAGATATGACGGAATTAATTTATATAGATTTAATTTATCCTTATAAATTAAATCTAACAATTAATATCTCTTATATTTATATAATATGTACATATATATGAATTTATATATATATACACGTCCACCCTATATTATTCATTGAATCTGGACATATCTTAGATTCAATGAATTTGAACATCATAACTCGTGTTGGGCTATTTTGTGTGCGACCTTGTAGGCCCATATGAAGTTGGCAGTGGGCCATTAACTATAATGACTCACAAGTCGTAAGCGGTCTCTAGCAAGACATCACGACTACCCAAATCATATGAGGATCATTGAACGATGTAACCTTTCATACAACCATATCACGTCCTTTTTGTCACACGACATTTTGGTCATGGATGAGGCATGGAGAACGTCATCCTCCTATTCATGACCGTTACTTTCTCGATCCCTGAGTAGTCTGAGTATAGAAATGAAACTACCTTTCCATTATAGTATGGCCATACATTTCTTAGACTCACTCATCGAGGGGCCCAGTAATATCTCTCTACGAATGTGAGGGACAAATTCCATCTTGACCATTCACATTTCTCCGCATGAAAAACCACTAAGCCTGAACATA